TTCAAGTCTAGTGGTCTAGTGGATAACGCTGTGGCGTTTGAAACTGTGGTCACTGGGTTCGAGCCTCGGTGGGAACATCATCACCCACTGGGAAATACAGGTACATCCAGATGACGAGTCCCAAATAGGACGAAGTGTGCATCCTGGATTCCACTGTTAGTCACTATACACCATTTAAAAACAAAAAAAGATAATTCGAGTAATGCAATCACCAGAGAGAGATAGAGGGATATGTGGATGACATAATAGTCATTTGTGATAAACCGGCAGACACCATAGAAATCCTGAACCAGATCAACAAAGCACAAAACAGTATATCGCTAACATACGTTAAAGAGAATAATAATTGCCTGCCATTTTTAGATGTACTCATAACCCGCCGAGAAGATGGGTCAGTAAAAGAATCTGTCTGCAGAAAGTCCAAATGAACGGGACAGTATCTAAATTATCACAATTTCTGTCCATTTCAGTATAAAAAGGCGTTGGTTAAATGTTTGTTCAAGCGCATTCACCGTATATGTACTGTCGATACAATTGAAGAAGAAAGACAACACCTCACTGAAATACTGTTAGATAACAATTACCCACTGAAATTTATTAGGCGTTACGGAAGTGTCAACCATAGAACTCTACCAATCCAATCAGCTTCCATAAAAGGATGTTTACATATCCTTACCGTTCAGAGGTGATCAACAAAGTCTGTTCACTAGACAAAGACTCAAAGCCACAATTAATAGAACCTATTATGCAGCTAAACTTATCTTCATAGAGAAAACGAGAACTATGCTGTCCTGTATACCCTCACATTATCCGAACAATAGTGTCATATCCCACTGTGTGTTTATCAGTTTACATTTATGTGTGGACACACGTACATAGGGGGGGGACCCATCGATCTCTACAGGTTAGGGCTACAGAACACACTCCAAAGTGGCTGCAACAACAAATATAATTGCCGGATACAGTTGACCCCGGAAATAGATGTCCAACATCATATATAGTGAAGCACATTTTAGAGACGGTCATAAGGTTGAAATCAACAATGCCTTCAAGCCCACATATAAAACAAGGTTGGGCCATATACTTAAATTCATTGAAGCCTTAGCCATAAAAAGAATTAAGCTCGTCTTATGTGTCTAAAAGTTATTTGTTATTACTCTAAATTCAATTTATAACCAAGGACTAATTTACTTCATAATATTTTCAACCCTTTCCTTGCCTTGTTTTTTTCTCTTTTTGTCTTTCTTACCCACACCTTTGCGTCTCCCTGCCCACATTATCTGTGACCTTGAACTGTACACAATCTGACCTGTATTGTAATTACTCATGACTTCTATAAAAACTGTGTATGACAAGTACGTGTGGGATCAGAATGTCCGAAATGTATCGCGCAAAAACACACATTACACGTTTCAAATAAACTAGAGAGAGGTTTCGCGTGCGTTTCGGATTGTGAGGGCGATTGTTACTTCCCGGCTGCCCACACCGTGGAAGTTGGTTGCGTGACCGCAGAGCCCAGGGGACAACTGCTTGAGGCCGGTCACACGCGGCCTGTTTTTGTTTGTTCTCTTTCGTTTGGTGTGCCTCAGTAGCATACTTATCACTCCTGCCCTGTGACACGGCAGCAGGAAGCGCGGTCGTTGTTAATCCGGGCCACGACCGATCCGGCATGAAATTTTGTGATTTTGTATTGGACATGATGTTGGATGTGGTAGCTGCTTTTTGTTTAACCGCTATCCAAACAACCTGCCTGGCATGGTAGTACCTCAAGAGACATAAGTCTCAGCCAGTATAGCTTGAATAGATCATTGCGGCGTTCAAGCCCGACCACCGTCAAGGTAGCAGCTTTCGGTCGACCTGGCCACTGAGAGTGGAAGACATGAAAAGACTAGCTGTGTTTTTGTTGATAGGTGCCTGCGCTCTATTTCCCGTGTAAAGTGGCATAATTAGGTGAGCAACATTGAGGTTAGGCGTAGAGTTCTAGGTAAACAGGGGAAATCCATCGACGAAGTTGTGAAGTTACAAAGACTGAGGTGGTTAGGACATGTGTTACGTATGCCAAGCCATCGCCTCCCTCGACGAGCAATGTTAGCGGATATAAGGTCAGGCTGGAAAAAAGCTAGCGGCGGTCAAACAAAAACTTGGCCTCAGCAGTCAATGAAATCCACAACAGTTGGTCTAAGCCACGTAGGAAGGTGTAGACTTCCAGGCTGGGGTCCTCGGGACGGTAAAAATCTATGGTTGGAAACAATTGGTGACATGGCTCAAAGTGATCGTTCTCAGTGGCGCATATGCATCCACTCCTTGTGACTTATGATCTTCAATGAAACTGTTTTGTTCTTCGTTATTACTCCTTTGTCTCAAACCTCTGCTCACTGTGTCTATTATGCTTTTCTTGTACTTTCTTCTCTTGCTTCGCGTGCTACACGGAGTGTGGCGACTTGAACTTCCGCACATTTGTGCAAAGTTCTATGTCGAAAACAGACAGACAGACAGAGAGTCAAATAAACTACGTCTTCTTATTGTGTTGTCGAAATTCTTAAAGGGAACTAATTGCAATCAGTAGAAACTAATAGGCGCTTAACTGTGTTTCAGTGGTTTAGAGGTACAATGCTCATTATATCACGCACACTGTTCAATGTTTGTTTGATTCCCAAAACAATGCGCTACTAAACCCTCAACCGGACAGTAGAGAACCCAGTGAGGAGAGAAAAAACAGGACGTAGGATTAACAACACCAACCAACCTGTAAAAAAAAAGCAGGGCTAGTGAAAACTTGAAGGTCTCAAGCATGCAGAAGCATGTTCCAGAAAAAAATTGTAAAAGAAATGGTGAACAACTAAGAATTCAACAACTACGTATCCTACAGTGACTCTCATAGATTAGGTATATCAGGAGCAGAGTAAAAACCGCTCAAACCACACTCTAAAGGTTGACACAAAACTACTGAGTTCTAAAATATCTATAAACAAAAGTAAATGACATTTTAGAACAGAAAATTAATCATTCAATCATTCGATTTCAGCGGAAAAACTGGCGCAAAAAGCAGTCCATATGACAATACAACGACTAAAAGAAATAATCGCAATGGACCCAACAATTCTATCGACAAAAACAGAGAGCAACCCAGATGTTTCAGAGACTGAAAGAATAAAAACTTCACAGTTCATAGAAACACAGTCGGATACAGACATACACAAACTGTCTTATGCTCAATCTCCACAGAACGTCGACTACACCAGACAGTCACAACTCACAGACATGCAAGCCATCACTGATCCACACAAACTGTCTTATGCTCAATCTCAACAGAACGTCGACTACACCAGACAGTCACAACTCACAGACATGCAAGCCATCACTGATCCACACAAACTGTCTTATGCTCAATCTCAACAGAACGTCGACTACACCAGACAGTCACAACTCACAGACATGCAAGCCATCACTGATCCACACAAACTGTCTTATGCTCAATCTCATCAGAACGTCGACTACACCAGACAGTCACAACTCACAGACATGCAAGCCATCACTGATCCACACAAACTGTCTTATGCTCAATCTCAAAAGAACGTCGACTACACCAGACAGTCACAACTCACAGACATGCAAGCCAACACTGATCCACACAAACTGTCTTATGCTCAATCTCAACAGAACGTCGACTACACCAGACAGTCACAACTCACAGACATGCAAGCCATCACTGATCCACACAAACTGTCTTATGCTCAATCTCAACAGAACGTCGACTACACCAGACAGTCACAACTCACAGACATGCAAGCCATCACTGATCCACACAAACTGTCTTATGCTCAATCTCAACAGAACGTCGACTACACCAGACAGTCACAACTCACAGACATGCAAGCCATCACTGATCCACACAAACTGTCTTATGCTCAATCTCAACAGAACGTCGACTACACCAGACAGTCACAACTCACAGACATGCAAGCCATCACTGATCCACACAAACTGTCTTATGCTCAATCTCAACAGAACGTCGACTACACCAGACAGTCACAACTCACAGACATGCAAGCCATCACTGATCCACACAAACTGTCTTATGCTCAATCTCAACAGAACGTCGACTACACCAGACAGTCACAACTCACAGACATGCAAGCCATCACTGATCCACACAAACTGTCTTATGCTCAATCTCAACAGAACGTCGACTACACCAGACAGTCACAACTCACAGACATGCAAGCCATCACTGATCCACACAAACTGTCTTATGCTCAATCTCAACAGAACGTCGACTACACCAGACAGTCACAACTCACAGACATGCAAGCCATCACTGATCCACACAAACTGTCTTATGCTCAATCTCAAAAGAACGTCGACTACACCAGACAGTCACAACTCACAGACATGCAAGCCATCACTGATCCACACAAACTGTCTTATGCTCAATCTCAACAGAACGTCGACTACACCAGACAGTCACAACTCACAGACATGCAAGCCATCACTGATCCACACAAACTGTCTTATGCTCAATCTCAACAGAACGTCGACTACACCAGACAGTCACAACTCACAGACATGCAAGCCATCACTGATCCACATAAACTGTCTTATGCTCAATCTCAACAGAACGTCGACTACACCAGACAGTCACAACTCACAGACATGCAAGCCATCACTGATCCACACAAACTGTCTTATGCTCAATCTCAACAGAACGTCGACTACACCAGACAGTCACAACTCACAGACATGCAAGCCATCACTGATCCACACAAACTGTCTTATGCTCAATCTCAACAGAACGTCGACTACACCAGACAGTCACAACTCACAGACATGCAAGCCATCACTGATCCACACAAACTGTCTTATGCTCAATCTCAACAGAACGTCGACTACACCAGACAGTCACAACTCACAGACATGCAAGCCATCACTGATCCACACAAACTGTCTTATGCTCAATCTCACAGAACGTCGACTACACCAGACAGTCACAACTCAGAGGCATGCAAGCCAACACTGATCCACACAAACTTTCCTATGCTCATTCCGAAGAAATTGTCGATCTCAAGAGACATTCACAGAACACGGAATTTGATACTATTAATGAGTATGATGCTGTTCATTTCGGTGGGAATTTATTATCTTCTGCAGCTTTTTTTGAAGACCCTCAGTCAAGCTATGATTTCGATACGGTAGCTTCTTTGTTTTCTGTCGAGACATTCACTAAACTTCCGTTAGAAACTTTAGGCCGAATTACATCAATTCCTTCTGAATCTGGTGCTATCACTCATAAGTTATCTCGGGATAATGGTGACCGTCAGTCAAGGAAAGGCTTCTCTATCTGTTCACAGAAGCAACCCTACAGTATTTCCGATGACCAGCATGTTGACAACTATCCTACTCTTAAACCTACACCAAAGTCTTTATCTTTTGCGAGCAAAGGCTCTGTTTGTCGTGGTTCACTTCTTCAAGAATCACACGAAACCAGTGCTTCTTTTCCGGATAGATCTCTATATTCAAAGAGTGTTTCTAAGTCACCTTCAATGGTTGAATCACCTGAGAGTATGTTAAATTTAACACCAATGAACAATGTTTATCCTATGTTAGACAGAAATATACTGTTACCTGGTGAATACCAGTCTCAGAGTACTTCAGGTATTGCATTCTCCAGTCAATTATCCCCTCCTGAAAGTATAAAATTGACTAAATCCCATGGACAAGATGAACAACATCAGTTAACCCGTCATCATCATCATCCAAGCTGTAAACATTATCCATTTCCAAGTATGATGGATAACTACTACTATCCATGTGGATATAAGTCGACTATGCTTGAAGGCGAAAAAATGCCAAACCATATAATGAAACCAAATCCAACATTCTCTACTGATAAATATGAAAATCAATGGGATTGTAAATCTTGTCATTTGACCAGTCGATATCAAAATGGTATCCCTGAATACCTACCTGAAAGATATCATGATACCCCTGATGAAATGAATGATTTCTCTGAATTTCAACAAATCACTATGGCACTATTGAATACACTTATGACTACAACTGAAATGTTACGTACACAACTGAAAGTAAGGCAAGCAGCTCTAACATCACGAAAATGTTGTAATAGACAAGAAGCTAAAGACAGAGACAGATTTGTACAAACTCAAGGATGGAATGAAAATGCCATGTGTAATATTCTACAGATTCAACATTCATGTACTGAAGAAGATTCTGATGAAGATAATGTGACTTTATCGTTTTATAGAGCAGAGGACAACAAAGGCATCAAATATCGACAAAGGCGACAATTAACACCTCTGTCTATTCACTATCCTCAAAACATATACAACAAGAAGAAGGAGAAGAGGCCTGATACTATTACTACTAACACTCCTTATCCCATATCAAGTAGGAAGACTATGGAAGATTCCGTGATTCCGTGTAGTAGATTCATTAAACCAATATTAACAAATTCGTCAACAAAATATATTCAAACCTTATCTTCAGATATATTGAAAACCAACGCACAGAAAATAAATTATGATTTACATCGAAATGGAAATGGTTTAAATTTGCGAAACAATTTCACACCGCATTTGTTTAAATCGACCAATGGAGATTTAAATTCGAAGGCGCCAAATATGACTATCCATCATCATTATCATCCTCATTCGCAGCATAATTTATACAAAAAGAGTGTATCATTTGAAAGATATACTGATGATTATTTATTTAAGAATATTGAAAATAAAACAAAAGAAGAAGAAAGGGGAAGGGGAGGTCACGTAACTAAAACAAAATTATTGTGTACTAATTGTCATCAATTATCAAAGTTTTATTGTAAGCCTGAAAGCATATGTCTGTGTTGTCAGAAGAGCTTAGATATCTCACTGTTGACGTCAGCATCCTTGTCGACATCATCATCGTCGTCTACACTTGATTCACAGTTTGTTTTAATTAATCGTGAAGAACAGAGATATCAGGTTATTTCGTCACCGTCACCATCACCAACAACAGTAACAACAACAACAATGTCGTTTACATCGACAACTTCAATGAAGACTATTTTTCACTCAATACCCTGAGATACGAGTCAATCACTCCCTATTCAGATTAATATTATCTGATAACTGAGTATATCAATTATGATGATTAATAATATATTACTATTCACATTACAACTAGGATCATTACAATACTACTTAATGTGTCATGTCTAAATAAATCAGAAAGCAGAACAGTTCACACACACACACTTAAACAAAAAACGCCATCGTCAATTCCTTCATAATACAAAAACTGAACAGAAAGCTTGAATTAGAATGAAATAAATGAGAGAAAACTAAAGAATATGATTACAATCCTCATTTCGGTAAGTTATATATGTATATGTCCAAACCAAGTTGACTTTTAACAGTTTGAAAAAATTTGGGCATTGGGTATTTGCGATATTCGTTATAATAAAGGTTTTTATTTTGTATTTCCCAATGAATGAATAAAAAAGGGCGAAACAATATTGTCGTTGTTTTTACTGACGTTCCGCTATTTAATACCACTGCTAATAGCTTTATCAAAGTAGTCACATTAAACCAGATGAATTTACAAATTCTCACGTTATACATCGCAGTCCAATCATCATTCCTCAGCATTGGGTCGTTCTGAGTTGTCAAGTTAACCAATTGGTAATGATAACAAAACCAGGTGAAGATTGTTGGATTTGATAAGAGCATAAAATTATATAGTGAAATTGATTATCATATTCATGTTGATTTCGTCATTCCATGGGGGAGAGAAGAGGCTGTTATAACCAGGTCAAATTCTGTTTTAGTCCATCATCATTCCTGTTCAGACAATTTCGATTCCACTTGATCATATGAAGTGCTTCTGATGATATTAGACGTTGTTTGTGATTTCTGAAATCTTTTTTCTGGATTATTTCAATACTGTTCAAATCAATTTTGTGACCTGATTTTACAGCTTGTAGACGAGCTATGGTTGATGATTTTTCAAGCTTTCCTAGTTCAGTTGGATTTCTCGGTGGTCGAACAGATGCTCTACGGTGTTCATTTTTCGAGATGTTTGTCAGATGTATATCGTATCCCATTCAGACCATTTCATTTTAAAGACACAATTAGACAGAGAAACCTTAAGGATTTAGTCTTTTATATGGGCAAGGTCACTTTGTAGTGTGTGTGTGTCTGATGTCTTGAAGAAAACTTTTGAAGTTGTGCTTGTTGAGTACTCTTCTGATGTCGTCTGACGTCTTTGATGGTCTGTATGGAATGACAACTATTGAGGCCCATGTTTTCGACCATACTTAATGTCAGTGTTGATTTTGTTGATGAAATTCTTTGGGTAGTTATTTTGCTTGAGTCTCAGTAATGCTTGGTATTTCTTCTTCTTTTTCTTTCTCATCCGTAAACACCAAAGTGTGCGCTCCCTTTAGAAGACTTGAAACAACTGATACATTTGCGCTGATGAGGTGTGATGATCCTAAGTCTAAATATTTGTTGGAGGGGGGTTTTCTGAGATTTTGTAAATTCTGGTTTAATGTGACTACTTTGATAAAGCTATTAGAAACAGTGTTAACTAGCGAAACGTCAGTAAAAACAACGACAATATCGTTTCACCTTTTTTTTGTTCATTCATTGGGAAATACAAAATAAAAACCTTTATTATAATGAATTTCGGTAAGTTATTCAGTTATCTTTTATTCTCATTTGGTTTGGTTCACCCACTGGACTGTCATAAATCCATGACGCTATATACTACTGATTGGTTGACTGAAATAAGTAGTTGTCTAACATTCATATGAACAACCTCTAGTGTTTGTTAGTCAGTCAAAATAGAAGTGACGCGTAAACATTGGACGGTTGGTTTGCTCGTTAAGGGTTGACCTTATCAAAGGTGTAACCTGTTTGACTTAACTCAGAGAAGATTAAAAAGACGGTTGCAGCGAAGAACATTTTCTTCTCAATGAAATGACCAACTGGGAGGCTATACATTCATGTAATTATGATATATGGGTGGGAAAATTCCAGAATAATTTCCAGTTAAGAGTCAAATTAATAAAAATTACAATTAGGAATTAAAATGTCACAATAAACGTGGAGGGACGGATAAAACTCAAACAAAGTAGCATCATAATGACTAAGAAGATTGACATTGTGTCATTGAGTTTTAGCAATGTAGAAATAACAAAATAAATAGACAGGATGTTTGGATAAAAAATAAGTAATGTGATGAATAATTGTTTATGCAATCAGGGATTAAAATATGTAGAAATAGTAAAATGACAAAATAAACACGAAGTTCGGGTATGAAAATATGGTAGTGTAAACAGAGATTAAGAAAAACTAAAGAATAACATGAATAAACAGGATGTTAAGATAAGAAAGGCGATGGGATGGTCATTACTAAAAAATTACCTGTTTAAGATGGCCATGGCAGGGACAAGAATTGAACGTATTTCTTTTAGATGCATAGCGTGGGTTTGAGCTTTTGGATAGCTAGTGCCTCGGCTATGCCCAGATGTCTTAATTTTACTCCCCCTGATGGGTTTGACAGAATCTGTACATAATTTTCAAGAATTTTTCGAATGGCGCTGAATGTCATAAGTTGATCAGATGTTCTGTCAGTGAACCTTATACACATTTTCGTTCTCCTTTTAATAGCCAGACTGGATAGTGTTCAAGAACGCGTTTCGCAAGTTGGCGCATGATACACTACCATATTTTCAAAAATATGATATTTTCATATATACTTTGTCGTTGTTGTCACAGCTGAATCTAACTGACATTATGTCTATTTTAGTGTGTGGGTTGGTTGTAGTGGCGTCGGTGGACGCGCATTTAAGTCTCAAGTTAAATGAATCCACAATTCCGCAAGTATCACTTCTTCACAACATAGACACCTATGGAAATTGCACCAGTGATTGAATTCAGGACTGACCTTCGAGTTACAAGGCAACACCGTTGACAATTCAACCTTTCGGTGGGAATCCGATAGCTGATGAATTTTAATTTTTGCTACAATCAATCCGTGATCTATTTTGATTAGTATTTATTTTATTCCTTCACGTTGCCAATGAAACATAAGGCACCTTCAAGCGAGAGGCTAAAAGTTTCGGTAGCACTGGCATTTTGAATTTTACGGGATAGAGTTGCTAGTCAGCTTCATACCCAACCTCCCCTCCTTACCAGTCTTATTACTAGCTCAGCGAGATAATGGAGGAGTGCGTCAGTAGCCAGGGATCGAAACCCGAACCACATGTTGCGTGGTAGGCGAGCATTCTACCGCTTCGCTAACAGCGCATATCCATGATCTAACATAGAATTAATTAGATAACTGCACACCCAACACATATTAAACTACAATGACATTAGTTTTGAGTTTTTTGACATACGTTAATTGTTAAATTTATCTATTTCTGATTTTAGATGTGCACAAACAGGGAGTGAGTGAGTGAGAGTGAGTCAGCACACATTTGCCTAATTAAATATATATAAGATGATTCCATGAGAAGAAGTAGCTCTTATACAAGAAGGAGCATTTACCAACACTGTCATTCAATCAGCCAAGTATACATCATGTGTTCACAGACATTATAGCCTTTACCAAGATTGAAACAATAATAATTATTTTTTTCATTTATTTATTTGATTTTATCCTTCTTTCATGCATGTACTACTACTATGATGACGAGAATTGAATTCCACTCACCTATTACCTTTCAGTATTTTTAATTCACTTATCATTTGTCAACTTCCTTAAAAAGGATGAAATTACGTTCTCATTTATTTCTGCTAGTTACACTGTTTCCTTCCACCTTTGGAAAGTTTTGTAAGAAATAAATAAACTTATTTAGAATCATAATTGCAGATAATTTTCTCTTAATGATGATGATGATGACGATGATATGGAGTGGAGATGTCGTTGTGTTTGTTTTGTTTTGTTACTCTTCAATATTATGCTTGTTGTTGTTGGTCTTGTGTTGCCTCTCCCTTCAGGAAGATTATTGATTTAATGATGAAGCTTTGATTGTCCTCTTTCCAAGATAAAACATACCTTCAGGGCATAGCTTTCAGATAATGAGTGATGTGGGCTTTGGAAATCCATCATAGTTGAATGAATCCAATGGTCAAATAAGTTGAGTGGTGGACGGACAAGTTAGAAGAAATGCATAATAGAGATAGTAAACAGAGATATGAGACAAAGGAATAGATATAACGAAGAACAATATATTTCCATTGGAAGTCACAAGGAGTGGATGCATCTGCACCAGCCATTGAGAGTGATTTTGAGCCATGTCATCAATCGTTTCCAACCATTAGTTGTTACCGTCTCGACAACCCCAACCAGACAGTCAGGAAGTCTACACCTTCCTACGTGACTGGCTGGCTTAAACTAACTGTTGTGGATTTCATTGACTGATGAAGCCATGTTTTGGTTTGAACGCCGCTGGCTGGCTCCTTTCCAGCCTGACCCTATGTCAGCTAACATTGCCCATCGGTCGAGGAAGGCGATGACTATACATACGTGACACATGTCCTAACCATCTCAGCCGATGTAATTTCACAGTCTCGTCGATTGATTTCCCTCCTTACCTAGAACTCGGCTCCTAGCCTCAATATTGCTCACCTTATTATACCACTTCACACGGGAGAGAGAGCGCAGGCACCCATGATCAAGGGCATCTAGCTCGCCTTTTCATGTCTTCGCCTCTCAATGGTCAGGTCTCACAGCCATAAAAGAGGATGGATCGGACTGGTCAGCAGTACACACCCCTTGGTCGATAGCCGGATATCACGTCTAGAATCATTTTGTTGTTTTTTTTTGGCTGGAATCTTTTTTGTATGATTATTTTTCAAACAATGTGTGTTAATATAATTGAAAGTGAACTTTTCTTCTGCCTTTCTTTTCTAAAATTTAAATCTCCATATTAGATGATGAGAATGAATTAGAAGAATACAGACAAGAGAAGAAACAACAACAACAACAAGGACGAACGAGCAGAAGCATCGAACAACTGACAATAAATATTGGGAATAATTCTAATTCTAATAATAATAATCCAGAGAGAATTGACTATGAATTTATTTCCTCAAAGTGAACTATACTACTCACCAGTCCATTTCAGCGACACTTATTCTTATGTAAAACAATGGAATAATAATCATATTAATAATAACCACAACACTCATTATGATGGAGGTGGAGATGATGATGATGATGCAGAAAGTGAGGCGGTAATAGTTGGCAGAACTCCTGCTGATGTTGCTCATGCAGAGGAGGATGTTGATGACGACAATGCCCTCCAACTCCATGAAACTGCCTCTGAGCATATTCTCGATACACAGTCTTGTACCATAATACAATAATAGGGAATGTGAAAGAAGCGGAGAAATGGAAATCGCAAATGTCACCACTTTCCAATTCTCAACAGCATCGAGTGATGAATTCATTCTGCACATATGAGAATAAACGGGCGGAGAAGAGTACAAGAAGGCATTCTAAATATACCTCATCTCATACATACTCCTATCATCGGAGATATATTGGTGAACGCGTCAGTCGTAGACGTAGAACTCTATCCTATCCATCCAGGTGTCGACCATCTCCAAATTATTCACTATCAAAATCTCATCTAAACATGAAGTCATCAGTCTATGCACCCTGTCCAACTAGACGATCATATCTTAGAACTATGAGTAAACATAATGTGAATAATTTATCCTCCCAATCTTCTTCATCAGGTGGTGGTAGTTTGTTCAATGAATTTGTCAGTTGGATACACGGTTTATTCAGTCGACCGAATTCCTCACAGTCAGCAGCACCATCAACAACAACACTCAGTCCATATGATATCATAGATGATACATCTGAATCAAAACTCTACAATGTGGACGTCAAATCTACTTCAAGTGATCGCCAGCATAAACGACCGTATTCTGCTCCTATTCCAAATAGTCGATCTTATCATAATATCACAAGACTAGAAGACAACCACGATGAAGACGACACCGTCAACACCACCAACACCAGTGAAGCTGGTGATGACATAACGACTGACTTTAAAGATCTGACTAGAAATTTGAGTACACTGACGCATACACCATATTCACCTGCATCATCCGCGTCATCATCATGTCTGCAATTCAATAAACCGCCAGATACAGAGACAAGTTATTACACACCCTGTGATGGTATGAAAGTCGCCTCGTCAAGAACAGAAGTGATGGTAGTAGTTGGTTTATCAGTGGCAGAGCTGGCAACGACTACAATAACCACTGCAATGAATCCGCCTCTCTCATCACCATCAGTCGATCATGCTAACACACCACCATCAACAACACCACCAACAACAACAAGCAAAACAAATTCATTGAAATCAAATGAAATTATGTTGACGGAGAATAATTCAGTAAATGGTCTTCCGGTCGACAATTGTCAGTCAATAAACAGCCATCCGCGTAAAAGTCAAAATATCTCTGAATTCCAACATGATCATGATGATGATGATAATGAAGGCGACAGGTGCATTAGGCCAGATCTCACAGAAATCCAGTCATCAGTAGTAGTAGCAGCTGGTAATCGAGAGACTGATAAACATTTAACTGCCAATTTTCAGAAGCCATCAGTGATTACTAACTCATCCTCAGATAATTTCAATAAAAGCAAACAAAAAGAAATCTCTGAAGTATCTGTCCCATTGACAAGCAGTTCTTCATCTGGAAAACGATTAAATCAACAACGGCGTATTCATCAAGGTGATGCTGATGATAACACCAGTAGTAAGTCAATGAGTAGTAATCACCTTCTTAGACAACAAGTCAATGATTCAAATGTCATCTTTGAAATCAGTCTCCGACCTGAATTGTGTGCCTTAAAGGGAATCGCTAAACATACTGACCAGGCGTTAACAGAAATCAATGACTCCGTGTTGTTCAATAAACAATTACAATATGTAAACACACAACTACCATTACAGGATAAACATAGTGCAATCTATGTTAAAAGTGTGAAATATATCTCCCACGATAATGTAATACACATTGATCAAGATTCGGCGACAGTATACGCCAACGGGGAGCAAATATCACAGTTGATTCCTGAAATACAAAATCCATCACCACTGAATACTCATAATGGCAAACAATCCCTGACAGGGAATCTGGAGACCTCTGAACAAATTCTATCACCTACACTGAATGTTGAAATGAATGAATTGCATAGATCACCACTACCCGGTGTTGTTCACTACTATGATAAACACAATAATAATACTGATCATCGGATACTCGCCGGAGAAGACATAGCCGCCAGTCATAAACTACTCGAGAAGCGTTTGTCAGATATTCATCATCAAGGCATAGTACTAGACAGGGTGCCACCACCAGCGACGACGACAACAACAATGATGACGACAGACGAGGAAAGTAGACACAGTAAGTTACTCTGTATGAATCAATTTGGAGAAGGAATTCTCTCTGGACTTTCCACCTCACAATTACGCTTAGCAGGGAAGTGTAGTTCATACGAATCAGAGAAGGAGCATGCGGGGGAGGAGGTTTCCAGGGATAGTTTGAGGAAGAAAATAAATCGATTACAACAACGAAAGATCACAATTATGCCTGAACAAATTTATCATTGTAAATCAAATATTGAAATGGACCAATCGATAAATTCATCTCCGCCTGTGACTGTTAACCAGAATACCACTGTCACAGAGAAAACTAAAAGAAATGATCCCCCGGACGAAGAGATATACCAGCATGTAACAACACCGAATAGACAAGCAAACTTTTCACCTGAAAAGATTATATATTCTCCAATTGATTTCAAGCATCATCCATGTCTCCTGAATAAAGAATCAATAACAACAACAACAGTCACATCTGATGATATGCATGAAGCTGTTTTGAAGTGTGAAAATGATCAGAACACAATCACTTCTCCTCTTCTTAATACCTGCGAATCATTAGAACTTTCAGAATTACATAAAACTGACACAAAGATACAAGATGTACTAGTTTCACAACAACTTTCATCGAAATACGCCAATTCATTCCCAATACCAACACAAGTTGAAGTCGATGTGGTACTCGGTTCTACCACAATGACGATGATGATTGACAGTGCGAAAAAAGACGAAGCTCATCATGAGGAGAAGAAGACGGAGAACAATAAAGTCATGAAGGGGAGTCTTCAAATTATTATCAATGTGATATTCCATTGAACGACATCAGAACAGAAAGTGATTGTACAATACAATTGGAGGAGTCAATAATTCTATCAAGACAAACTTTTGGGGATTCAGACTCTGCGGTTACTATGACACAATCTAAGATGACGACAGATTCTATTGAAAGTCTAGAAAATGACTCATTCCTACTTGAGAAAGACTTAAATATGTCTACAACACATCTGAATGTGCCATACACGAACAAAGAACAATGCCGGTAAACATTGAAGTTGATCTCTCCAATTCGCTCTCTGATGCTCAATGTCAAGCTCATTGTAATTCTCATCCAACTACATATACTGAGGTGGCCTCCAATCGGAGGAAGCTTGACCAAGTGGTAGAAATCAATCCAACCATGCTGACAAACAAATACTTGAAGTACGCCTCATCCTCCTCATCGAAGGCAACACCAAGTAAACTTCCACATGACAATTTCATCATAGATGACAACAAAATGTATCCAGGAGAGAAACCTTCAGAGATTTCACCCTTGAACAAAGTACCAGTAGTCGAGATGAAGAATCTAATAGCCGATTCACTTGAAAACACTGCAACAATCAAAGAATCTTCAACACCAGTGCAGATGAAGGAAGTCATACAGGCGAATTATATGGACGAACAACGACAACCAGGCTTCACCGCAACTGAAATACGACAACCACCGTATCTCACTGACGGCTATTCTAACAAACTAGACAAGACCACTAGAATGATACAATGGGAAAATGTTCAAACTAACAAGGTGTACACAACTGTTGACGTATATAAGCGACAAGACTCCGCTACTGATGATGACAATGATGAAAGGACTATGATAAATCCAAATACAATCACACCAACATCATCTCATTACGATGAATCATTGACAGAAGCAGACGACATTCAGATATCCTTTGGACAACATACACCATGTCATAATAAATCAGTGGAATCAATAACACACAGTATACAACTGTGGAAAAAGAAGAAGAAGAAGAAGGAAAGTGTCGTCGGACGACAACACCAGAACAAGAAGTGAATTTCAAACAGAATGTTCAAAACGACAGCATAATTACTCAAAGAAGTCGTCTGCATCAGAAACAGTCATCACATGAATCAAAAGAAAGCATTTGCAATGAGATGAATGATAAGCAAAGCGATAGTGGCAGTGAAACATTTGATCAAAAACCAAGTGATCCACATCAACCAATGAAACCAATTCTACGCAGTGACAGTTCAGTAACAACCTACATTGAAGAAGAGTCTACATTCTACTCGACTATGCATCAAAAAGACGGATAGATCTTCAATCGCTGGATATTCTTCATAGAACTAGAATGATTGGTGGAAAAATGATGCTGACTGAATACTCACCTGAACAGTATTACAAAGAGACATTAATACTACCAGAATTACTCTGTCAAACACAGCATAATTCATTTGAACAGAACCGCCAACCCATGGCTGATATTCATGGCAGTAGCAGTACTAGCAGTCCCGGTAGTCTGCAGTTGGATGGAAACAGCGGTGCTGGTGGTGGTGTATCTGAATATGTCCATGATTCATTAACGCTAACTGAGAATGAGGCAAGTTATCGTTCTCTGGCACCGACTAGGAAAGCTTTAAAATTAGGCGCCATTGAAGAGATACTGTGTGCTCCTCCACTAGTGCTCCACTCTGGAATTCATAAACAAGTAAGCAGGTCAGATGAAATGGTTATCGATGCTTTAAAAGGCAGTGAAGAGAAGAGACCAATTGCCCATTTTGTAGAACAAGAGTGTCAGAATAACCTAGAAAGTCATTATCCAGGTAGAATATATATGCCTTTATCGCCTACAATTGAAATTCAAACAACACCATTACTACTGGGTGTTCCATTGAATCAATATACCATGACAACATGTTGCTCAGTAGAGGTTAAACCAGAGAAGGAGAACGGGGCGAGGAGGAGGAGGATGAAGAAGGAGGCGACGAATGACGACATCATATCTTCATCAAATCAACAACACCCAATGGAACAGTCATCGTTGTCGCCTAACAAGGACGCTGTAATGCAGTCGCCATTTGTACAGAAACCAATCAAAGCATATCTCAGTGATACACAAAATCAAAATTCCAGAGTAAATGATAATAAGTTCAAGTTGATAACCAACTTTAGGGATAACAATAATAAAACATACCTGAAGAAGAGTATTTCGTTATCACTTGACAAACTGACACGATCACGTCTGGCAATATCAAAATTTATACTACGATTGAAGATTAGATCAAGAAGTCTTGGAAGACTTGATTTTCATCATCTAAGCATTGAAGAGGGAAGACTGTCAGAAGAGAAGACGTAGATGATGAACAGATTGAAATTTCTGCACGGATACATCCTTTCAAGGAGGCGTAAATTTAGACAAGACAATTGCCAAGACGGAACAATCAGCTTATCATGATGAAACTGGTTTCAGGCGAGATGTCCCTCAAGAAAGGAGTGATGATAAAGTGGAGAAAGCAGAAATTGACCAGCATGAGATTGATATACAATTACCACCGCCACTGAATACTGAAGACTCCTTATCTGCTTCACAAACTAAACACATGGAACAACAATCAGAGGCATTTAATCAACCAGTTCTCAAGGAGGAGGAGGAGGAGTCAAGGATCCCTCCACCACATCAAGTTTTATCACCGGAACACACTTCTGCAATCCACTCACCAATACAAACACAACAAGGACAACCACAACAAGAGAGAAATAAGGCATACAATGATCACGATGACGATGGGGAGAAGCAGGTGGAGGCGGAGTCGAAAAGGTTGAGTCTACCACTGCCAATCGAAATCGGAGAAGGTAATGACTCATTTGTAGAGAAGTATGAAATTGTCGCCAGAAGAACAAATGAAGAAACAGACGACCAGTTGGAGGCTATTTCATCTGAACAAAGTGATGAGAATACGCAAGACGACATGCGCATGACAACAACTTCGAGTTGTGAAGAGTCACCATCAATCAAGGAACCACAATGCAAAAATGAAATTATCCTAGAAAGTAGTCTGAGCTACAATGAAGTGAATCAACAGACAACTGCAAAATTAACATACACCACGTCAGCTACATCAGTGCCAGTTCACATGAATGAATTCTTAACAATATCGATGACATCTATTGTATCCCCATCAATTCATTATAGAAGTGAGCTAAGCTTTACTCATCAACATTCTGATCAGATAAAGACAGGTACACCGACAACTCTAAGTAATTGTGAATTAGACAATAAACCGAGTGAAACATCAGTGCCTACAAAGAGTGGTGAATCAACAACCTCGAGTACTTATTATACTGCTCAGAGTAATCCAATTGGTTATGGTGAAATTGAAGTAGAAGTCAACGAACAAGACGTTGTCCGTGCTGTCGCTTCTGTTAACGTCGACAAGAAGGATTCATATGATGATGAGTCTACATTGAAAGAAGATAAAACTCCAATGCAGAATGATGATGTGATAAATGAAGCAGAAAGAGAGACGACTGACACAGAAACTGTCAAGGCGTCACCACCACCATCATCACACAGTGAAGCACAACCTGATCATCTACACCAAATCGATTATATTTCACCAGAAGAAGAAGAACAAGAAGGAGAAAAACAAGCTACTGAACACGTTGATCAATTGGAAGAGAGCATAGAGGAGGTGAATGTGGAGGCTATTCAATCAGCTCCTGACATAGTCAATTATAGTTTATCAGAAAACATTGTCACATATAACGCTGATGGAGAGTTAAATGAACGAATCGCTGTAGTTAGTCTAGAAGTAGATCATGCACAACCAAATGACATCGTAGACGTACACGACATAGACGCTGATACTGAAGTTAGTAAACAGCTTCATTTAACACAGGTTCCTGAACAGCCATTAGACGATGAAAATCAGCAACTCCAACAGTTAACTGATACAACAGAGACACTTGCAGACGACTCACAACTGCCTATAACTGTAGCCCGTACAGTGGAAGTAGAGCGATATGATCATCACGATGATGATGAGTTGGATGAACGGCAACCGTATCCAACGACAAGTCATCCGATTGATATTAAAGGAATAAGCGAGGTGATGCAAGAACATCCAGCCAAACCAGAGAATAAAATACTCAAACAAACATATGAAACAGTTAAAATCGAAGATAAACAACCAGAAATTAAAACAATCCACGAAGAGAAATATCACGACTTGTACAATGTGAAAGATGCTAGAGAGAAAAATGTACCTTATGAAAGTGTTAGTGAATTGGATCGACTTTTTGATACAATCACTTCTGGACTGGAACGAAAAGAAGTTGAAAGTCGAAGTCTCAAGTTAGTCAAAAAACAACACGCTGTTGTGATAAAGGAGACGCCTATTATTAACACAGCACCACCTCATATGGATCAGCAACTATCACACGATGATGATAGACAAGAGAAGTCTACAAAACTGGAACTGTCTCAAGTCCCAGTAGTCATGGACAATTTAACTCTTGCAAAATCGGATACAACAAGAGCAGATACACCAGTCATTGAATTCAAAACAGTCGACAGTCCTTTTGAGATTCAAATAAAACCGATGGAAGTATTACAAACTACAGGGAAATCTGTAAGTCAAACGTCTCATGATGATGATGATAATGACGACGAACGAAAGTTGGACATCCACTTACCTGAGATGTTCACCTTAAATGAATATGAAGACAGGTGCGAAGTGAAGGAGTTAACAACAGGAGGGCAAGGCGAAGAAGAACACTGTCAACTGATGAAACACGAGAAGGAATCAACACCCACCAATTTGATGGTATGTATTCTTGTCCAAGTACAAACACCAGATACAATAATAATGAGAATTGAGGACGACAATCAGATGTTGACGACCACTACTGATGAATTGAAAGAAAGTTATTCTCTTAGGAACAATGAAGACGAAGAGAAAGGAGGAGAGATTGTGGAGACTGAAGGAGTCGGTATAACTGTCAGTCTTACAGTGAATCACTTCGATACAGATAACAAGATGCTCTCATTACAAAGTAGTAAAGACATTCAACCACCACCTACAGATTTATCAAGTGAAACTCAAAGATTACCATCACCGCTATCACCAACATCATCACCATCCGCCTCGGAAGTGGTTGATCATCTTGAAATCATGCAACGACAAGAAGAAGAAGAAGAAGACGAAGACGGAGAAGAAGATGCAACACCGAAGAAACATTTTACACAACTCAAAGAAGATGTGAATATTTTGAAAATCACCTCGAAATCTACATATACAAGTACACCATTGAAAAATTATTCATTTAGACAAAGAACCACAACAACTAGAATCCCCTCCAGCTTTGAACGATCTACATCCCCTCAAGAATATACTCTCGCTTCTACTGTCTACCTTCCACACTCTGATGGTGCCACCACCGCCACTGCCACATATTCAGAAAGTCCTTATCCAGCGCCAACCAGCTCATCACCGATGACTAATCATCTAGGCTGGCTGTTAGATTCCTCCTCCTGCCTGATAAGCAGATTTGATGAAAGACTGAATAAACATCTTATTGAAGTATCACCTAATAATAGGATATTTAAGAAAGCAACTATTACAGAAACCAGTCACCACCAGCTACCAACTATCACGGCCACTGATCAAAGTCCATCACAAGAACAAACAACACCAACAATCGCGACAACACCAACAAACAGACCTGAAGGAAACCAACTGCGTATAACCATCTCTCAGACTATACGTAGAAATTATTCCTACACTTCAAAAGATGACATGCACACAGAAAATTTGGTAAGCAGTGTAAGCAATGTAATCACAACTACTACCGGTCCTCACCATTTACGACGTTCATTGTCTGAAGATTTCAAAGGTGATAAGCATACTACAACAACAACAACACACAGTGAAATCAAGAAACAAACTAGCTCACCACTAGTTGATGACGAAGAATCTGAAGATATGTATATCGCTCGAAAACTTACTAACGAAGCGCTTAACAAAGCTATTGACAGACTTTCTATCGTCGGTTATACAAACACCACACCACCACCACCAGGACCATTGAGTTATTCAACTCCAATCACTCAGAGAAAGAATAAGGAACAGAAATTCTCCGACGAAGAAGCAGAAGAGATTATCACACGATTACGACAAGAATACAACATACAAATACCTTCAAGAATTGATCAGCATCGGTCTACACAAAGTCCACTGACTTTCATCATGAGTACAACACCAGAGGATACAACTGCACCCACTCCGACAACATCAATCGACACACCATTTAAAATTGAACAAGATGTCTACAGTGAAGTGTCCAAGCAAACAATAGCTATTCATGCTAAAACCCGGATCTACATGTTTGAAGCTGACGAGGGTGGAACAAAAGACGAAGCACAAGGAGAAGACGCACACGGGGAAGAAGAAGAAGTGAAAGATACTGATATGTATCCAGTGAACGATGGAAATGTTATTCCGTCAATATCACAACAATGCAGTCTGAATAAAACTGATAATCAAGTTGTCTTACAAACTTCCCTATTAGTTACAAGTCCAAAGTATCTTACACAATTTATTGATGAAGAAATTACTGACTTGCGTGTACAACAACAGCATATCGGTGTGATAAGTGGATCAGATTACAGCACCTTGGCGAAATATTCCCCAGTGGACGAAGGCGACGATGACGACAAGAATAATAGAGAAGTGGAAAATCTTCCAGGATTAAGAGATAGGCAAGAATTCGAACAACACCAATCTCCAGATGGAAAAACAGTGACTATCAGTCCTACGAGTGTTGTCGATGACTACATTGTCTCAGAAGACAATGATGAGGACGAAGGTAAGTCAACACAACAACAAATACAAGAAGAATTATCTGCGCTTAGTTATGCACCATCAACCCATGAATTTAGTGGATCAATGAAGAAACGCGGAAGTGATGACAGAACACAAAACGATCAGCCGCCGATAGAAGTAGAAGATTTCACCAGACCGCCAGATTATATATTAACACAAAACTATCATGAAATAAGTGCTACAGATGCAATAACCATCAGTCAATCAGTAGATCATCCTATCAACGATGAAGAAGACCACCATGATATCTTGAGTCGACTGACAACACCACCCCCACCGCCTAATGAATACCACCAGCAGCAGCAAGATAAAATACAGTCAAGGAATGCAATAAAAAGTGAAACAATCACTCAAGATTTTGTCACCATTTATGAAACACCAGAAAAGATTCAGTTGGTGAAAAGAAGTGGAACATCAGAAAGTCAAAGCCGACAAGAATTAATAGAAGACGACAGATATAGAACTATTTCAAGACCATTCACAACACCCCCAACACCCACAGCAACAACAACAACAACAGCTGAGATATTAGGAGGTGAAAAGTTCAAACTGACAAATATCCATGAGAAAGATACTCCTCCACCTACCCTGAGTTATATTCACTCAGATAATGATGAGGGCATGTTACAAGTGTCCATGGATATAGATATACAAGCGAACTATAAACTGGTTAATTCAACCAGTGATCTCCATGACAAGGAGGAACCGGTCACAAATTTAACTCTACATTTACCAACAACACAAGAGAATAATTTAACTCTCCATGAAGTTATCACCTCGCAGCTCACAAAACAGCCCACATCGACTACACCGACTAATAAAATTAATAATGCATCGGAGAAAAGATCACCTCTACTCACAACAACTGCAATCACTTCGCTGACACCTGAATCAACATCTGAAAAACCAAGAGATGGTATGTTAACAGGTCTCAAGGAAATGCCTACAGCTATGCGGACAAGTCCAATGGAAATACAAACCACTGATAAATCTCAGCTGTCAATCAATCCACAAGTGACTTGTACCAATTTATTTTCCATCATTAGTATACAAATAAAATTAACACAAGCGATGTGTAAATCAGAAAGTCATAGTGAGGCAATACACTTTGACGATACTGAAATCAAATCGAAGAGTGAACAACACTCAGCACTACTTTTACCGAAATCTATTGATAACACTACTAAGAATACGACTGGAAATCAAATTCTTAGTGAAAAGCATTTCAATCAAGCTGTTCGAGAACATATCGATTTAATGACTAGAATGTCTGAACAGGAAAGACAAGCCTTGGTTGGTCGAACTAAGAAAAAACTGCTGAAAGATGCCAGCATATTGTCAGATGATGAGAGAATTAAGCTAACTGCAGTAGTACAAGCTATTCAATGGATAGCTGACATGACAGATGATCAACGCCAACAAATCCTTACAGGCAGGAATATGGTAGACTTTCCGAGTGGTACACCACCACCACAAGCAATCAGTGAGAAGATGCCAACAGAAAATCAAGTATTCTTACCATCGTCTGTAGATATCACGGATAAACATCATTCGCATATGAATACTCCACATGACGAGCTACAATGGAGTACTGTTGAAGCTAATTACACACAATCGATAGAAACGACTAGTCAAGTTGATTCTAAGCATACATACGATCTGGTGCAACGTGATACTCCCACTGCGAATACTACTCCCACGACAACGACGACAACTGCAATGATAATAACTTCGTTGAACGATCAACATTCAAGTAAAACTATCGAAGTGAAACAAGATATCGAACACATCGTCCATCTATCTGATACTAATACTACAGCCAAACAAATGTATAATGATACATCAAAGAGAAAATTACCTCAACTGCCCTTATCATCGGCATCAGCGTCACCATTTGAAGCAAACCAGAAACAGTCGAGTAAATATCCAATTCAAAAGGTAACAAGGCCTAAAAAGAATCCATTAGACGACACACTACAGAACTCTGAAAACCCCGATGATCTACACAAACCAATCCATAACATGGAGGAGCGACAACCACAACAACAACAACAACAACAACGACCATTACACTCAGATTATAGTCTCCGCATAAATAAGCTTGCTCAAGAAATCCCACGCAAAATTTATCCATCGAATCAGGCTACTACTGCTGCTTCTACTACACAATCAAGTCTATGCTCACCACGATCGATAATCCAGACCACTGAACGCGTTCAACGAGCTGAGAAGGTGGCCAATGCATTAGATGCCTTAATCATTGAAACTATTGACTATATTACGAAGAATTTACATAAAAAGTAATAACAATAGTGTATATTCATGCATGTATGTATGCATAGGAGCAACTACTAACAATAAAACCCGCCTGGCAACCCCAACACCCTACTTATGATAAAAACAAAGAACCAATGAGACCAATTACTACAATATTAAACAATTTTCATTTATTCAGTAAAAATGTCTAACATTTGTATGCATGTGTGTATGTGTGTGTGAGTGTGCATGTGTGAAGAGAACATCTTTATTATTATCACCGTCGTCACAAGGAATAAAATTCTTGTGCAATAAAATACATTCATTGTCAATTACTATTATAATCACTGGTATATATATAATCATTCTTTTCACTAGTCTGATTTCTCTTTTGATGTTGGCGTCTACACAAAGAGTAGAAGAAGAAGTTAAGTTTGCCAAATAACTAACTCACTAAACTAACCTGTTGATCCGTTAATTCATTCTCTGGACTATCCTCATCGATCTCTTCTCTCTTCAGATCACCAACAAACAACAACAGCAGAACGATAATAAATGGTTAGAAAGAGAAAAAGCCAAAATGGACACATTAAATCAGTAAAATACAAAAAAGGAAAACTCATTATGCTATGTATATAGTGGTATATCCAATATGTAGGCGTTAGGCATCTTTTCCCAATGTGGCGTCATTATATTGTGTGTATAGGACTTCAATCTCCTTCTTGAAATGGTTGTCATCTGAACTAGTGACAATTAGTGGTGTCTGTCAGGAAGGCAAGCCTACTATTCCCATTTTTATTCAATTTCATCATAGATGTACTAATGAATTTAAACCTAACCGACTTCAGCGACTCAGAGATTGACTTGTTACTACTAGGAGATAATCTTGTTGACTTAGAATATGCAGATGATATAGTCCTGTCTCCTAGGTGAAGACGCTGACAAAATAGAGCAGAGTCTTCTGAACACCTTGAGCTGTAATCTGCGAATGTTTGGCATGCAATTCGCTCTCTTGGTCAAATGTCACATGATGCTACAGGACTGGATTGGACTACATTGACTCCTAGCTAAGAAATAAGGAGTGAAGTGGTTGGTAGAGCGTGTTGACCACTTCACTTATTTGGAAAGTTGCATTAGCTCCAAAGGAATGATTTTCGACGAGATCTCAGCACGGATACAGAAGGCTAGTTTCGAATGTGCCAGTTTACGCCATCTCTGGCGTAGACGTGATAACCCGCTGGCTGTCGACCAAAAAGCATGTGTACTGCTCAGCAGTCCGAGCCGGGCTCCTTTATGGATGTGAGACATGACCATTGAAATTGGAAGACATGAAAAGCCTGGGTAGCTGTCTTGTTCATAGGTGTACCTGCGTTCTATCACCCGTGTGAAATGGTATAATAATAGGGTGAGCAATATTGAGGCTAGGAAACTACTACTAGGTAGGTGGGAGGCGAAATCAATCGACAAGGATGTGAATTTACATCGATTGAGATGGTTACGACATGTGTTATGCATGCATCCTGAGCCATCACCTTCTTTGACGAGCAATGATAGCTGACAGGGGATGGATCAGGTTAGAAAAGAGCCAGTGGTGGTGGTAAAACCGAAACATGGCTTCATTAGTCAATCAAATTCACAGTAGTTAGTTTCATCCAGCCACTTAGGAGGGGGGTGTAAACTTCCTGGCTGGGTAGGGTCCTAGGGATGATGAGAACCAATGAAGGCTGCAGACATTTGATGATATGGCTCAAAATTGTTCTCAATGGTTGGCGGAGATGCATCCACTCCTTGTGACTTACAATATCCAACAAAACTATATTGATCTTTGATACGACTATTCTTTTTGCCTCATATCTCTGTTTACTGTCTCTATTTTGCATTTCTTTTTACTTCCTTCTCTTGCTTTGTGTGTTAAATTGAGAAAGTGTGGCGACTCGAACTTCTGCACATCGGTGCAAAGTTCTATGTTGAAACAAGTCAGTCAGTCTGGAAATGGTCTAGCGTGGCCACGTATCGGTCAGGTAAGTCTTATTCACTGCTTTCACTCAGCAGGGGTTATCCTCACAACATAAAGTGGAAGGGTGACTCGGAACATCTAAAAGTCTAGTGTGCTTAGACCAATGAGCCACAGCTACCCACACACCCCCGCCACACACACACACACCTTTTTGCTACTTACTATAGGGATTTTGCAAAAAAGAAAAGAAAACCTACATAATATTTTGTAGTAAGCATACTTATCTTACGGTAGGATGTTTGTCAACCAGGCCATACGTGGTTCAGGGTTCGATCCCCGGCCACTGATGCTCTCCTCCATTACCTCGCTAAGCTAGCAATAAGACTGATAAAGAGGTAAGGTTGGGCATAAGGCTGGCTAGCAACCCCATCCCTTTAAAACAAATACCATTGCTATCGAAGCTTGAAGGTGCCCTATGTTCCACTAGGGACAAAAAGGACTATTAAAAGAAGTATATTTCTCTTAAACAAGATTATTTTTCGTTGTTTATATTCGTGCAGGAACACTGAAAAAGTGATCTGACGTCATCATCATTAACCACTGGGTTGAGACTGTACATACATACATGCATACATACAGTGATGAATGACAGTAGTACACGCAATAATTTGTTCCACTTACCGGTTCTTCTCCCCTTTCAACTTCTTGACTACACTTTAAAGAGGGAATAAAGAAGTATATTACTGGATATAGGAGTCGATGTAATATCCACAGTATTACTGGTATAACAATGCAAGGAATGCAAACCATATTGTCTCTCTCTCTTTATCTCTGTTTCTAGTGTATCACAGATCAGTTGTAATTTATTGTACAGATAATCCTAGAAAGAAAGGAAGAAAGAGAGAAGATAATGCAAACAGTAGAAATGAGGATAAAAAGTATTTTGAACTAGTGTTGCGTCCTCTGAGAAGCTGGCTGATTGGTTGTTTAACTGTCAAGCTTTCATAGGGAATAAAAAGACAGTTACAGCGAAGAAAATTTTCTTTTCGATGAAATCATCAACTAGGAGGCTGTACATTCGTGTATTTATGATAAATGGGTGGGTGGGAAAGTCCCGGAATAATTTCCAGTCAAAGGTGAGATTAATAGGGCCTATCAAAGGGAGTAAAATAAAGGCATCTGGGCATAGCCGAGGCACTAGCTATCCAAAAGCTCAAACCCACGCTATGCATCCAAAAGAAATACGTTCAACCCTTGTCCAACCCTGCCATGGCCATCATAAACAGGTAATTCTTCTAATAGTGACTATCTCATCGCCTTTCTTATCCAAACTTCCTGTTTATTCATGTTATTCTTAAGTTTTTTCAACCCCTATTTAGACTACCATATTTTCATAGCCAAACTTCCTGTCTACTTCGTCATTTAATTATTTCTACATATTTAATCCCTGATTGCATAAACAATTATTCGCCACATTAGTTATGATCCTACTAGATTTTTTATCCATACATCCTGTCTATTTATTTTGTTATTTCTACATTTCAAACCCCTAATTGTACAATATATGTCAATCGTCTCAGTAATTATGATGCTACTTTGTCTGAGCTTTATTCGCTCCCCTGTTTATTATGACATTTTAATGCCTAATTGTAATTCTATTCATTTGAACATTGACTGGATATTATTCTGGAACTTTCCCACCCACCCATTTATTATAAATACACGAATGTACAGCTATCTAGTTGATGAATTCGCCGAAAAGAAAATTTTCTTCGCTGCAACTGTCGTTTTATTATTCCTTATGATCAAATGTGTATATTCCGTGATTGTGAAGCTTTTGTCGACGAGCATCTAGACAACATCACTTCAGTGCAGGGTTTTAGTATTTATTATTAATGAACTTATTTGAATTTTCCATGAATAAGGATATAATTTTGTGTCTCCTGACAACTATCTTCATGACTGGTTGTTAAAATTTACGTCTCTACTAATCATTTTTATTGATTGACTTGGAATTTGAAATTTCTTGTATCATGTGATGATTCAGTTTTTATTAGCTGTTAAATTTGGTCTATGATAATGTGTATTTGTTAATCGATGGCTGATTGATTTGAGTACCAGGCTTTTAAAAATTCAAACAGAATGGATATCCTCACAATTTCATCAAAAAATATTTAAACTTCAGTCATAACACTAACAATAAACCGTCATTAAAGACTACAAGAAGACTTTTAATCAAGAGAACTAACAAAGGAAATATAAAAACACAAGTATGCAGAAAATCAACACACACACATGTACGTCGGTGGCACAGCTATTAGGACTCTTGCCGGCCATGCACATGGTCCGGGGTTCAACTCCCTGCCGAAGCACACTTGATATCTATGGTCGACCTGCAAAATTGGGGCCACCAATATCACATGCTGAAAATTCCATACTTGTACCAAAAATACTGTGTGGTTTCAAGCTATAATCAAAAATCAAAAAAAAAATATTGAATTAGTTGTGTTCTGTCAACTATAACAGAAATAATCCAGTGACGCACAAAAAGTAACTGTGTGCAGACATTGTTTGAAAAAGTCCAAACAGATTGTAGCACTACTCCGATGTTGAAGAGAATGGAGCAAAAATACTTACTGTCTTTAAAAAGAATGAAAACCGATACAATGTCATCAGAAAGTGTTTAAACCCGAATCATAACACCAACAAGAAACCATCATCAGAGACTACAAGAAAATCCATCATTCTACCATATACAAAACAAATATCTCTGAAATAACAGCTAGAATATTGGAACCGTTTGAAATAGATATAGCACTCAAGCCGACCAGCCAGTACAATCACTTCATTCAATGTTGTGCAAACCAAAAGACCCATCCAACAGAAAAAGAAGATAAAATTAATACCATTTAAAAAATAAAGTGCATGTGTGAACTGTAATAAACATTACATCGGTGGTCAATAAAGTGGGAATCCCCTTCGAATCCGAATCCAAGAGCACAAATTAGGTGTAAAAAGACATGATATGTATTCCTGTTTCATATCAATGCATGTACATAATTACGGACACCAATTTGATTGGGATAATGTACAAATTTGAAATAGAGGAAACACGAGATATCCTGCTAGGGAATTCCTAGAAGCTTGGAACTCAAGTGAATCATCATAGATATACTGACGGACTTAGCCCTAACATATTCCAGAGACTCAGGGATTGACTTGCTACCAGGGAATAATCTCACCGACTTGGTATATGCAGACGATATAGTCCTTCTGGGCGAGGACGCTGAAAAAATAGAGCAGTCTTTTGAATACCTTGAGCTGCAATCTTCGAATGTTTGGCATGCGGATCCCTCCCACCAAATGCAAGATGACGTTACAGGACTGGACTTCAGCGACTCCTAGTTTAGAAATAGAAGTGAAGTGGTAGAGCACGTTGACCGCTTCACTTATTTCGGAAGTACCATCAGCCAACGCCAACGGGTTGATCTCTGACGAAATCTCAGCACGGATACAGAGGGCTAGTTTTGCATATGCCAGTTTACGCCGACTCTGGCGTAGACGAGATATTCGACTATCGACCAAAGGGCGGGTGTACTGCTCATCAGTCCGCTCCGTCCTCCTTTATGGCTAACTGTGAGACCTGACCACTGAGAGTGGAAGACATGAAAAGATTAGATGTCTTTGATCATGGGTGCCTGCGCTCTATCTCCCGTGTGAGATGGTATAATAGGGTGAGGAATATTGAGGTTACGTATCGAGTGCTAGGTAAGGAGGGGAAATCAATCGACGAGGCTGTAAAATTACATCAACTGAGATGGTTAGGATATGTGCTACGTATGCCTAGTCATCGCCTTCCTCGACCGATGGGCAATGTTACCTGACATAGGGTCAGGCTGGAAAAGAGCCAGCTAGCGGCGGTCAAACCAAAACATGGCTTCATCAGTCAATGAAATCCACAACAGTTAGTTTAAGCCACGTAGGAAGGTGTAGACTTCCTGGTTGGAGTCCTTGGGACTGTAAAAACCAATGGTTGGAAACAATTGGTGATATGGTTCGAAATCGTTCTCAATGGCTGGTGCAGATGCATCCACTCCCAGTGACCTATGAAACTACATTGTACTTCGTTACTTCTATTTCCTTGTCTCACACCTCTGTTTACTGTCTCTATTATGCATTTCTTCTCCTTTCTTCTCTTGCTTTGTGTGCTACATCGAGTGTGGGGACTTGAACTGCCGCACATCGGTGCAAAGTTCTATGTCGAAAACACATAGAATCATCAATTAGTAAACATATTAATACAGACAAAATTTACCAGTTAATAAAAAAGTGAATCATCACATGATACAAGAAAGTTCAAATTCCAAGTCAATTAATAAAAATGATCAGTACAGACGTAACTTAGCAATCAGTCACGAAGATGGTTGCCAGGAAACACAATTATACCCTTATTTATGAAAAATTCAAATGAGTTCATTATTAATACTAAAACTTGCGCTGAAGTGATGCTGTCTATAAGCGCGTCGACGAAGGCTTCACAATTAAACAACCAACCAACCAGCTCAGAGAACACCATTAATTCAAAATCATCCACCTGAGCTACAAATCTTCATTCAGTGATAATAGAATAACTCTAGAATAAAGTAGTACACACAATACTACAGAGTCTTTCATAAAAGTATACCGATTATTGAAATAAATGAACAATTAACATGATGTCAGCTATAACGTCAGATTCCAACCCATTGTAGTTACAAAAGTAGCTAATCTGCATAGATAAAAACACCAACAAAACGGTGTAAACAATTTCCTACAGTTTGTAATGATATGCATAAGCTTCTAAGTAGCAATGAGCATTCTCAAGGGTGCTGTTTTTCTACGTGCCAATATCGTTTACAGAATGACTGAAAACTGAGGGGCACAAGGCAACCATTTCCTGCTCCCTTAAAACTTTTCAAAACTACACACTCATACATTTTTTTATTTTTTTTTTATTTTGATTATAGCTTGATGCCACACCGTATTTTCCGTACAAGTATGGAATTTTCAGCATGTGATATTGGTAGCCCAAATTTTCCAGGGCCACCATAGATACCGGGTGTGCGTTGGCAGGGGATCGAACCCCGGACCATGTGCATGGTCAGCGAGAGTCCTAATCAATGTGCCACCGACGCACAAAGCCCCCGTGAGGGGATGCCAAACAGTGCTTCGATCCTTGGTTGACGGTTCTTACCATGCAATAAATCACAAGAGTAGAACAAGAGAAAAACACCCGAGGAATCTTCACATTTCCAGACTAACGTATCAACCTTGAGCCACTGGGTAAGAATCCTATTGAGATTGAATTCTAAATCTAATCGTTAATTAGAGTTGTCATCAATGGGGGCTACCATGCCATTTGAAAGGGCAAATAATGACCGATCATACTGAGAAACAGTGGTGCTGCCAAGAAATGTAATTATTGCTAACTGAATTTAAAAGCACTGACTGTGTAACATATCAGTCCGCCCCACCATGTAGTTATGCGTTTCCAACGCTGAACAACTTCAAACTGGGACACGACATCAGTTCAGTGCTCACCTTGTTTCCAATATTCATGGTAAAACAAACCTTGAGAAAGAATAAAATCCTTACAAGTTGACAACTTAAAGGCGATAAGCGCCTATTACATCATGGTTTCGGTTGTACGATTGACTGACTGGCTGATTTCAACATAGAACTTTGCACCGATGTTCAGCAGTTCGAGTCGCCACACTCCCTCAATTTAACACAAAGACAAGAAAGCAGGGAGAAATGCAAAATCGAGGCAG